GAGGGAAAGGGAGGGACACAGAGGAAGGGGAGGAAAGGGAATGGTGGTGAAGGGAGGGAAAGGGGGAGGAGAGGGTGGGAGAGGACAGGTGAGAGGAGAGGGAGGGGGAAAGGAGGAGGGCGGAAGGGAGGGGAGGGGTTGAGAGGGGAGGGGAGGTAAAGGAAGAGAAGTAGGCAAAGGGCAGGGCAGGTGATGGAGAAAGGAAGATCTTGAGGTGCCCAGCTTTGGTGATAAACTCAGGGTGACAGATACTCTAAGACTGGAGATCATGAATGGAAGAGTAAAGAGTTCTCCTTTCAGCATCAGCTCCAAGCTCCACCCAGTCCTCTGTAAAGGAAGTAACATTTCAGTTGGCTGGTGAAGAAAGGAAGGAAGGGAGGGAGGGAAGGAGGGAGGAGAAAGATCCAGCAGTTTTCTGTTTTGTAGAAATAATTTAGCATAGTAAAACATAGTACAGAATTTACCAAACAAAGCCTTGAAGCCTGGCTCTCCTGGAATGATAACTTTGAGAAAATAGTTCAAATTCTCTGAGTGTGTTTTGTCTGTCAAATAGGACCCATCAATTCTCATTATTTTTCCCCTGAGGATAGAATGAGGAAATGCCTGTCCTTTACCTAGATGAATGATTTATTATTGATTCACCAAAGAGGGCTAGAAGGTAATTTTGTACATATCACTAGCATGTCTCATAAAGAAACTGATGAGGATCAAGGCAATGCAGAAATTAAGTATTTTAAATGGAAAAATGTGTGATGTACAGATGTTCCAAAGGATCACAGTTTACACATAAAAATGTACAGTTATTATCCATCTGTAAAGAAAAAAGAAATGAATTGAAAAATATAACGAAGGTGGGAGAGTTTCAGTCAACGATGTCAATGATCACTTTAAATGATAATTTTCTAAGTCCACCATTTAGATGACAGAGAGAGAGAGTGCATTCAAAAGCAAATCACAAATATCTATGTGCTGGTTAAAAACCACCTTACAGAGAGCATAACACATTTTTTGTCACAAGGGATCATAAACATGCGTGTGTAAACCCCACATATATTCTTTAGAATATTTCTATGGATGAAATATTCATTTTAATTGTACAAGTTTTATTATATTATAAACAGTGAGTACTTAATAGGAAAAGAAATCACAAAAATAAAATAAAATAACTTTTAATGTTTATTGTTTATAAAAAAGCATCAAAATTTTTAGCATTGACTGGTTTTTGGTGTACAAAGTCTAAAACAGGACTACAGAAATAAATTCCTATATAAACTATGATGAAAATGCCAATACCATGCTACAAACAAAAATCTTTATTTCAATTATTGCATCTAAGGCAGTTTGCACACAAGACAACAGCACATTTCTTACACACATATTGCTTACACTTACAGCATGTATTTTGCTTTCCTGGCCTTTTTGAAGAAGGTTCCTTATTATACTATGCAACGTGTAATTAACAGAAACATAAAACCTCAATAAAATAAGTATTAAATTCTTAATATGCATTGCACATTTAAAATAAACATCAACATTTTCACATCAGCTGTTTACTTGCTTATAAAACCTAAGAGATAACATCAGAAATAATAACTTACATGAATTACATTGTAACAGAAACAAAAATCTACCACAGCAATAATCTTTACTTCAAGTCAGGGATTGTGATGCCTCCTGCCTTTCCTTTGTTAGTTATGAAAGATGAATTAATTGTGGACTACTAACATAAGGCATGATGACTATAATTAATAATAATCTGCTGTATGCTTGAAATTTCCCAAGAAGGTAGATCTTAAGTGTTTCACCCCTCTAACTGAAAGAATAAGGAAAAGAAAAAAGTAACTGAGACATATAAGGTGATGTGTGTGTTAGTACATTTGATTATGATAATCATTTCCTAACATATATGTATATCAAAACATCAAGTTATACAAAGTTTATTAATTATACTTTAACCAACTCAGAAAAAAAATAGCCTGGCACTGAGTATTATTGAAAAGTTTTGAAGAAATCTGAAAATTTGGTTTAGAAGTAAGCCTTTATTTAAGAAAATGACCAATATATAGAGGAATAATCTCTACTCTTGAAGCAATCGTTTAAATTTTGTCTGTGCTTCAGTGTATACCGTGTTTGTTATCCACTATGTCCCCTAAAACACTAGTTGCCTTGAAGGTTTAGTTGTTGGTGAGCATTTCTGGTAGTAATTGGATCATGAGGGCTGCATCTTCATCAAGTAGATTGATCTATTGATGAAATCATAATTGGATAGCATAGTAGGGAGGTGATAGCAAAAGAAGGTGGGGCCTGGTTGAAAGGAATGGGTGAAAAAATGTGACCTTGGGAACTATATCTGGCCTCCAGCCACCTTTTCTCTGGATCTTTCTCCTACCTTCTTCTTCCTCGTTCCCATGAGTTGAGCAACTTTGTTTCAGGGTGGATTCCCCATAGTGACACTCTTCCTCACTAAAGTCCCAGAAGTCACAGAGCCAAATAACCAGGGACTGAAGCCTCTGAAACTGTGAACCAAAATAACTCCTTTTTCCTTTAAGTTATTTTCCTTAGGGACTTGTTCCTAGTAATAAAGAGCAGACTGACAGTAACACAATACATTTTTATTGATAATTTAATAATATTAAAATAAAAGTATCCAAATAAATATGTAAATTCTAAAGGCACACATTTGGTATTAAATATACCTGAGTAGTCAGGGCACTACTTAAGACCATTATGTAATATTAAACATATTCTGGAGCTGTAGGTTTTGAGAAAATTTCAAAAAGTATTTTTTACCATTAAGTATGAGAAATGTATTTTCACATAGCCAAGAGAATTGTTAGTGCAATTTTATAATAAAAATAAATTACATTAAAATATGACAAATTAAAGCAGTATCATAAATAAAAATATATTTCTATGCTTTATCGGGAAATATTATAATTATTAAAATATAATGGACTCAGCACATCTTCATGAAGAAGTGGAGAGGTGGAAAATGTGCCACTTCTACCTTACAATGAAGATTGTGGAAAAAAATCATCAAATTCATAATTCTTCTTTAGCTCATGGAGGTTTCCAACACCTAGGAAATACCTGTTCTAAGATCAAAAAAGAGACCACGAGTACTGCCTTACTTAGATAAAACACGAAAATGTGATATAAATAAAATTCACCCACCATGATTAGTGAATTAGTAGGCACTAAAGGTACACTGGTAAAACTCAGAAGCCCATGAAGACAAGAGAACTTAAAGGAGTCTGCAATGCCTTCAGTGCATTGAAGGTGTCCATCACCTACAACTTAATGGAGAGGTTTATTTCGGATCACAGTTTCAGGAGACACAGTCTGTAGTTAATAGCAGACACGTCATGGCAGAACAGCACAGCAGAGGAAAGCAGTTCATCCCTAGGTGGCCAAGAAGCATAGAGAGGAGGAAAGGCCCAGGGGCAAAAATGCACTCTTCCAGGTTACTTCCCCAGAGACTTGTCTCTTCTGACCAGGCCCTGCTACTAATAATGCACTCAGCTACAAATTCAGTGGAATAATCTACTGATGAGTATAGTGTCACCATGATCTAATCACTTTTCACACACATGACAATTTGGGGGGCTACTTTAGGTCTAAACCATCACACCATATAACACCATTGAAAGATAAGGAAAGACTGAAGAATAGTCCTGGATTGGAGCGAACTGAAGAGAAGTGACAATTAAATGCAATGTACTCTCATGGTTTGGAACAGTCGTAGAAAAAAATCATAAAGTCTCAATAAAATCTACAGTTAAATATATTGCTCAAATGGAAATGTTGTACTTTTTATAATCGCACTATGGTTAATGTGAGATGTTATCATTAGGAGCAGGTGGATGAAGGGTGCATAGAAATTTTGGTACTATATTTTCAGCTCTCTACAAGCCTAAAATTATCTCAGCTGTTTGTGAAAACTTATGCTCTCAATTCTGTGTTTCAAGGACATTATTTTGTTCTCTCTTGCATTGCTATACATTTTGTGGTAGTGGTTTTTCCTGTTGGCTGTGCATTTATATTACTGAAAATAGAAATAGTCATCTACTGTTAGGTAGCTACTAAATTGTACTGACAATAAACTGAGTTTACCAGTGTTCTTCTTGATGTTGAATCCATTAATGACACTTAAATTCCTCCTTAGTATTACTTGATACACTTCAGCCTTTGTCCTACTCTCCCTGAAACACTTTTTCCTTTGAGCTTCTGTAAGATCACCTTCTTGCTTTCCTTAACACTTATCTCTAGCCATGTATTCCTGACATTCTCCACAGATAGTTTTCTTTGTTATACCTAACCCAGAAACAGAATTCTTCTTTATCTTTATCTTCTGCATCCAATAAATCACCCAGTCTTGTACATTTTATTTCCTAAATGATTTTCGAATTGTTCAGTTATCTCCATTACCAGTGACCCTATCTTTGACCGGAAAAATATCATCTCAGTTATTGCAACAGTGTCTTAACTTGTATCTGTGCCTCTGGCTCATTCATCTTTCAGAATAGAAATTATTCAAAAACAAACCTGATTGTGGTAAACCCCTGTTTAAAATCACCCATAGCCTTCAGGATGGTTTAAAATCCTTTCAACCTATTCAGCTCTCCAGCCACATTACTCTCACCTTTAGACTTTCTTTTACAGTTATACCACAATAGAGTTATCTATCCTACATCTGAACCTTTCCACGTATAGTACTAATCAGCACACTCTTCCTTGCTGTGCCTTCTTTG